TTGCCAAGAGTTCTCTTAATTACTACCGAAGCGCTACCAACCTGACGCTCGCCAAAGCTCATCGTGGTGCGTCCCCCATCTCGTTGCTCAACCACCTTCATTCCCAACTCGTTGGTCCAGTAATCTGAAAGACGCAACCATTCCAGGAGCATGAGGCTAAGGTGCTTAGTTCTTACCGACGCTTTTCTCCAGATCCTGCACTCTCACGCTTACTTTAATCACCTTTGGAGGGTCTTGCCCAGGGCATATGAGGAACCAGTGACCGTCAGGATCTGTGAGCTGAATAAAAGGGTTACAGTACTAATCAACCTGAGTAAGAAGAAATTCAGGCGTTATGAATAGACGCATAAGTTTGGCCAAGAAAAGGACAAGAGCTCGTATAGGCTGAGACCGGAGTTTGCTTGCAATCAATTCCTTTTTGAATGGCAGAGCAGACCGTGGTAGGACAGGATATAGAGAACGTGACTCCCCACAAGAACTAGCTACCGTAATAGTTCCTGAAGTTCGAACACGGGTAGGTGGAGAGGGGGGGGGGAGCAGGAGAGGTACTTCGCTTTTCCGCTGCTTCACAAGTTCCGGTTTACAAGGCCTATCCTGGTGAAACCTGACTGTGAAGCTGGAGTAAGTAAGAAGATCTACCGTAATAAATGGAATTTGTATGGTATTTCCAACTTTCAAGAACTCTCGCCAAGCTGATTGAAGAGGAGGGGGACGTGGAGGTGTAAATTACTATACTACATTAGAAATTCTCCCCGGATTCCCCTCCTAATACTGCTGTTATCGCAAAATAGTCCAAGTTATCCTTACTCAAGGAGGCCACTTGGTGAACGTGAGAAATGGTAACTACGAAATTCCATGAATTCTCACCTGAAGTTTCCCGCATTCCAATTTCTTCACATTCTCGTGCCCTTCAAGTGATTTGTGAAGCTTATCAGATTCAATGAACATTCCCTAAATATCACCTTTGATCATATTTAAGTCATCGGTTCATGTACAAGACAGAAAGCCAACAAACTCACCATAAAATTCATTGCGAGGCGATAAGAGCCGATTTCGTAATTATACGTCAACTCGATGACAAAGTGATCGTCTTCACTGCCGTAGCCCACCATCGTCTTACTCCATTTTCCATTATAGGGTCTGTATTTTGTTATAAAAAGTACCAGCAAAGCCAGTTCAAATATGTGAAAGATCCTACCCATTACATGAGGCTTTACAACCTTCTTCGAATTCTTCATGACGCAACACCTAGAACAAACAAGGAGAGGCGTTATTCATGATAACACAAGCAAACTGCTTCGAACATTGTCTTAGGCAGCGTTCAGACTTCGCGATGACGCGCGTCGTCGCTGATTCGGAACACTGCCGTGGAATGACTGCAGTGCCCGAGATCCACATGGCGACGAGGAGCAAAGAACTGCATAGTATCTCCCGGCTGGTTGGCACGACTTGCTGCTCAACACTGAATTAATTATGTACTGGTGCGAATGACGCGTGCGGGACAGCACTCGCAGACTGCTACCGCTGCATCGCCGCAACGTAGATCTGCCGCACTACATCTCCATAGAAAGGGTGAAACTCCTGACCTTCATCTGTAAGACCTTCGTGAAGAAGTCATACGAGGCTTTTCTGTCGCCAATTTTGAACACATAATGAAGAGCTCTTACTGCCGTTCTCATCTTAAGGATTTGATTACACAGATATATAATAACAAGGCACCACGAATAGTAAGCAAAGGAATGAAGGATGAATAAACAGAGATATTTCCAAGCAGAGAAAAAAACTGTGTTAATTAAACAGGGCAGTCCGAATACAGCGAAAAGTGTTATATCCCCGAAAAGCATTTCGTTTCCAAATGCTTGTACCTGCCCCCAGATGGAAACGAGAGCAACTATAGGACATCGCTCGACAACAAAACCCTGGGTAACGTGTCTGTCGCAAGAAAGGGTGCTCATTTCTAATTCTCAGAGCCGAACATGGAGGGGGATGGGTGTAGAGCGTCTACACAAAGACAGGGGAGATGATGCAGCTGTCAACTATCATACTGCTCGTCGCATCCCGCCACGTACCCTCTGCAGCCTATCTTTTGCACCGGACAACTCGTCCAGATAGCTCATTTTCTGGAAACACATATCGGCAAGAAGTCAGCCTAGACGGCGAGTTACGTTCTGACAGCTGCACTAAAAAATTTCGGATATTATTGAACTGATTCCTGACTTCTTTCATCCAGCCCTTTTTCGCGGACCCCATCAATATTCTAATACTAATT